AAAAAATTGCATAATTAAATAATGAAAGATAAGGTATGTAATTAACGTATGAAGTGATGTGTGTGGTGTGTGGTGCATGAGGCATGGTGCAGTAAAGGTGAAGGTGTGATTACGTGTATATAGTGATGTGTATGTAGTCACGTGATGAATTTGGTGTAGTAAGTAGGTGCATAGCTAATATGTGTGTGTGGTACATACGTGTAGAATGTGTTAATATGTCCAAGAATATAGATTTACGTGGCAACAGCAGATATATATATATACTTGCAGGTACGTGGGAGAAGACTTTTATATATACGTGGCAAAAGGCTGGGTAAGTAATAATCATGTAAATAGCATATGCGTAAGTAGTAAAGTATTTTGTGACAAAAATAAGATTTAGAAGCATATGATATATTAATAATTGCCTAAATTGAATAAAAATTGTATGCATATTTTACAATTATCGATGACCTTATTTATATGTGGTGTGAGATCTCTAACATACCATTTTCATATAAATGCAATTTTTGTAGAACTAGATATTTGTAGGTAATCAGATAACTACATGATAATAAGTGACCTAATAAGCCCAACAACACATGATAAAATAAGTTATGATATTATGATATTATTTTAAGAAAGTAAATTAGAGTCTAACTCAAACTTACAAAATTAATTTATAAGGTAAAAATTATTTTCTATTTATATACGTTATTATTCATCTTATTTTTAGATGATATTGAATCTTCAACAAAGAGAACATGTTTGGTGTTTGCTGTGCGAGATCAGGGTATAAGTGTTTGCAAGGGAAGAACAACTTTACAAGCTCGTGGAAGTGGATTTGGAAACTCCCGATGACTGAGAATATTACGTTTTTCCTGTGTTAGGTGGGTAACGATGCTCTCCCGACTAGGCGTTTCCTAGCTCAACGACATATTAGCCACTCGTCGACTTGCACTCGCTGTGGCGTAGCAGCGTAGGAAATTTGGCACATATTGTTTCAGTGTGGAAGTACTTCCCAGGTTTGGTGTGTATGCTCAACATGGCTGATGTTAATTAAACCCCGTATTGGTGACGATTCGTGGCTTCAATGGCTGTAAAGTTGCTATAAATGTTACAATATATTACCTCTAATTTCCTGTTGGGTTCTTTGGACAAATCGTAAGTAGCAGGTCTTTAAGGCTACGAGTGTGGGTAATTAGAGACTAGTATATTAGGTGCGTAGTTTGCATGGCGCCTTGCATCATGCGTACGCAAGAATGAGGGCACCTACAACAGGTGAAGCCAAGGAAATTTAGGTTTAGTGTGTGTAGGCAACTAGCAATTAGATAGCCTAACATGTAGCTCTCTTGGTCGACCACATTGAAAAAAATCTAAATCCCACGTTGATTAAAAATTAAGGAGTTAAATAGTATATAAGTGAAGAGTAATTCTCACCTTACAAGTTAGTTTTGTATGTTGAATTAGACTCAAATTTACTATTCACGATGATATATCGTGAGACGATATATTGAAAAAAAGCTTAGAGTTGTCTTAAACTCAAAATTATTATTTTAAGAAATCCGATCGAGTAGGTGTTGGGACTTAAAGGCTTTGTGAAATTAACACGAAAATTTCTCTCGTTTGTAATTTGTTGGTTTTTTTCTTTTTAATTTATCACTCTTAAAAAAATTTACTATTTCTCAAAATCAATACATGTGACATAGGTGATAAATAACCTAATTTCTTGAAGAGTCATTAACGATTTGATCTGAATTATTAACTTTCGACTAATAGATAGTTTGGTTTACCAAAAACCATTTCTCAAATACATTTTAGAATATCAACGTCATATGACTTATAAGTAACTTTGTGAGATAATTACACTATCATTCTTAGGATAAAACAATGAAAAAATATAACATAATTATACTACCATGTATTATAAGAATTGACTTTTTACCTAAGTAAAAATAATATCAAGATTATTTCATTTTCTTTTTATCATATTAATTTCATTTGAATAACTATTTATAAATAATTATAGGTTTAATACAATAGTTGGTTTCTGAATTTTTTTAAAATATTTAATTGGATTCTTAAACTTTAAAAAAAGTAACTAAATCCTTTATCCTTTTATATTTTTTTATAAGGATTACAAATTTAATTATAATTTGTAAAATTTTATAAAGTATTATTTATATTCTCATATTTGGACATCCGTAACAAATTATTATTTCATCATTCAATGTTATCATCCATATATATTAAGTTTTAATCTTTATCATATTTTTTATTATTTTTTTTTGCATAATCTCCCTAATCTAAAATTTTTGAAATAATAGAGAATTTTATTTTTTAAGTAACAGAGATTAAAACGGGTCTCATAAAATAATCTTATGTGATTGTTTAGATATGATGATATAAATAATATGTTGTACAATGAATTGTAAACAAATTTTCAAAAAATTATAATTTTTTAGTGTAAAAACCTAATTGAAAATTATAAATAAAAAAAAGGACCATATATATGATTTACTAAACCATAATTATATAATTAAAATTAAGTCACGCAAGCATTTTCGTATGATTCGTTTTAACAATTTGTATCCACCTAATTATCAATTTAACCCCCGAGCAAAGAAATCATTCCCAATTAAACTTTTCTTTGATAAATTGGGCTAGAGACCCTGTGCCACGTTGAGAATACAAATTTAGCTTAGTAAGGAGAGGTGTTCATTGATAAAGTTTTTTGAGAAATTCAAATTAAACCGAACAGTGATTACGTTTTTTAAGTGAATCATTTCAATATTTTTAAAATATAAATCAGTTTTTTTTTTAAATTAAATCGATTTAGTATGATATAATTATCTATTTTATATTTATATATGAATTATATTTTTTTAAAAATTAAATTGAATCGATTCATATTGTAAAAATATATTAGATAATTGAATTGATTTTATAAAATAAATCTGTTCAAATTTTTTTCTCAAAATAAATTAGATTTTTTTATGTAGATAGATTCAATTATGAAAGAATTCAAATCAATTTAAATTTTTTTTGTAGAACTCTATTCCTAGGACTGAATTTGACAGCTTCAAAATAGTGTATGACACTATTACTCCCTCGGCCGGTTAGATGATAAATGTAGTTTATAATATATAAATATCCTATCTCCCATTATAAATATCGTATATTAAAAAATAAAAATAATTTTTAAAATAAATATAATATTAATTATTATTATTTATTTATACTCTCTTAATTTTTTAAAAAATAATTATTATATTATATTATTAACTTAAAATAAGTGTGCTACTAATTTTTTTTAGTATATTATTAAACTTAAAATAACCATTATATTAAAAAATATCTATTATATTATTATCTTAAAATTAGTGTTATATTAATATTTTAATATAATATTAATTATATTTTTTCTATTTATACGTTTCATAATATTAAAAAAATAATTATTGTATTATATTATTAACTTAAAATAAGTGTGCTACTAATTTTTTTTAGTATAACATTAATTATGTTCTCTTCTATTTATACACTTCATAACATTTTTTAAGAAAATGATTATGTTACATTATTTTTTTAAAAAAAAAATTAATCATTAAAATAATTTTATAAAATAATTTTATTTATTTATTTATTTATTAACAGTTTTTAATCAATTTATACTCTAGATAATATTTTTTTAAAAATATTATTCTATTACATTATTTTTAACAAAAAAAATCAATAAAGTAATAATTTTATAAAATTATTATTCTTTATTTATATTTATTAAATTTTCCTAATTCGTATAAACAAGACTGACACTTTTATACGACACTTATTACTGACAAAGAAAGTACTTATAAGACAACACTTATAAAATCACTATTTTTTTTATCTATTTATTAATTTGTTTTAGTTTATATAAAAAAAAATTAAATAAATAAACCACACTTGTCATCAGACAGACAGACAGGGTACAAAGTAAAAGTCCAATCAGCTAAAATCAAAATAGTTTTATCACACTAATTATACAAAACACATCATTGGCTTTCATTCATTCATCTAATTTAAAACCTTCACATCTCATTACAAACATTGGTTAATCAAGTGCACCACATAATTATAAACACAATATATTGACATTAATACCATTAATTGACTAGATGAAGGAATATGAATATCAACTGATTTTGGCTACTAAACCTGTCAAATTCAGTGCTCTCATTTTATTATATTGAATAAACGATACAATCATTATAAATGAAAAACAAGTCTATGTTTACTTTATTCTGTGCAATCATCAATAAGAACACTCCTCAAAATCCTAATATACTTGAAACTGGGAGCATTAAGATGGTAACAGGCAAGAAGCACAATGAATCTGTTGCTCTAGGAGCATTGCATTTGATATCTCAAATGAAACATATTGCTCAGAGTTCACCATCCCAGAGTTCTTCAATTGTCTTATAAGCACCATAGGTCTCGTCAACAAAAAAATCGCCCTTAATTAACCTATCCTGCACGATTAAATTCCATGTGTTAATTCAAAAAATGAAGCTTCTAAGTGACACACAAGCATAATGCAATGTAGTAAAAGAAGTAGAGAAAATGCTTATCAAGAGAAAGAACATAAAACTTGGTCATATATACTCATAGTAAGTAACTAACTACTTGCCTGCTTAATTTCAGAAAACTTTGGCATCAGGTCTTCAGGAATAGACCAGTCAAAGACATCAAAGTTTTCCTTGATTCTGGACTCAGTAGTGCTCTTAGGAAGCACACTGTGACCTGTTTGCAAGCCCCATCTAAGGGCTACTTGTGCTGGTGTCTTCCCCAATTTCTCTGCAACCTCTGTGACAACAGGATTCTTAAGAATGTCACTTTTCAGAACTCCTGGTGAGCCTAGTGGAGAATATCCCTGAAAAGAATTTCATCATACATATATAGTTAGAATACTAATATCAGAAGAACAAAGTACAGTTGTTGAGACACCTTCAATTTTATTTGAGTATACACCAAAATCATTTTCAACCAGCTCCTGAGTCTAAACAATTTCACACCAAAGTCCTATATAAGTGAATACCTCGAATACTAAGTCTTATATAAGTGAATGTATATATTATATATGTCATATACTTACAGATAGATGAATTCCTTTGGATTCACATAATGCATGCAACTTTGGCTGCTGCCATCCAGGGTGCAATTCCACTTGGTTAACAGCAGGAGGCACTCTTGCTATATCCAACAAATCTTGAAGCTTCTTTGTAGAGAAATTGCTCACTCCTATGGCTCTAGCCTTGCCTGAATCATAGAGTGCCTCCATTGCTCTCCATGTGCTGGGAATGTCTGGTTTATCCAAATTTTCTTTCTTGAATCCGGCTGATCCCCTTTTCATGCTGACTGGCCAGTGGATCTACAACATAAATAAATCAACTTAGTTTGTTTGGAGGAAGAGACCCAAGAGAGTAATGGATGAAATGAATTCCCTGTATGGTGTAACTAAACTCAGCATTATATGAATGTGTAAAATCAATTAAATTCATTCAATTGAGAAACCATAATTTGAAGAAAATGCTAACATCTCTTTTCCAGACACACTATCTCCTATTGGGTGAAATCATGTGATTTCCACTATAAATATATGAGTCTCATTTCTCAATTAGTAGGACTTCATGTTAACTAATGAGAGTTTGTTGGAAAGAGAATGTTAAAAAGTGTACTGCTACACTTATCTAATTTGAGTCTAGAGCACTTAATCTTCCCCAAATTGGCAACATGAATTCACATATCAGTAAAGATGTTGCATGCATACCAGATAGAGGTCAAGGTAGTCAAGTTGCAGATCTTGTAATGTTTTATCCAACGCTTTTGGCACAGCTTCTGGAGCATGATCTGAACACCTGGAAATATACCCAAAAAAGCATAGGATCTAATTTCAGCAACCACAAACATACAATATTTTCCAAAATTATTCAAAAGGAGAACATATTTTTTTAAAAGATAACCAACCAGAGTTTGGAAGTGATCCATAGGTCCTCACGCTTCACCACACCCTCATCAAAAACCTTCTTAAGTGCAGATCCAATCTATACAAACCAAAATTCAAAAAAAGAAAAAAAGAGTTAGCTTCTCGCTATTTCTATTTAAAAAATTATACAACACAATTAACGATTTTATATATTATAGTAGAGAACTCTGAGTTATACAAGAGCTGTCAATTTGAATTATTATTACCTCTGCTTGATTGTTATACGCTTTAGCACAATCAATATGCCTGTATCCAACCTGAACAACGATAACCAGACACTAATGTTAGTCATCACTTCTACCTAGGCAAAATCAAAACTACAAAAATGTTTGTCCAAACATACAAATCATAAAACTATATAACTAAGCCAATGAATTATATTTATATAACAATAAAAATAAAATAAAATAAAACCACTGGAGAAATTCTCTCTGGGTGGCATGCAATCTATTTAAAATAAATAAATAAAAGGAAAAAAATTGAAATTAAAAAAAGGGGGTTTTACCTGAATGGCTGTGGTTACAGCTTTAGCTACAACACCAGGTTCAGCTTGCCAAGTTCCTAACCCAAGAGAAGGAATCTTAGCCCCTGTGTTCAGCTCAAAGAATTTGATTGCCTTAGCCATTTTTTTTTCTCAATAATAATAACCTAAAATATTTAGAAATATATCCAACACTAGTGATGGATGTTTCCAGTGTAGTTAAAGTTCGATGCGATTTATGTATTTATAGACAAAGAAACCTGAAGATGAAACAGTGGACCGTAGAGGCCCAAAAATGGAACTGGACGGTGGTTCTGTTTGGTGGATCCATTTTTCCTGCGGTAAGTTATTTTATGCATTCATGCACTTAGAGTATCAGAACCGTTGGATGGAAATAAACGGCTCGTGTTTTATCTCGTGAATCGGACTGAAAACGGGACTTGAAAAACGAGCCGCGAGATCTTTATCAACGGTTGGAAATCGTTAACTGGGTGAACACGTGAAAGGTATCTGTAGCGAATCTGAATCCGACTTTGAAAGTGAATGCATGATATATGCACACACGTCATCGTAATGAATAATTTGAATGAATTCTTGAAATAGTGAACCACCAAGTGAAAAGAGATGACAAATTATTATTTGAGAAAAAAAAAAGAAAAAGAAAAATCGTAAAAAAGAAAAATCTGAATGTGATATACTTGGTGTGCATTTATCTTCAGAAGGTACCGTGAATTAAAGAGCAATTAAAATCAAATGTTCATAATTAAACACCGATGATGAGAAAATAGATAAATTTTATAGTTTAAACATGTTTTTAGTCTTTTAAATTTAAAATAAATTTGTTTTTGTCTCTTAAATTTAAAATTGTTATTTTTAGTCCTGTAATTTTTAAAAATTTTGTTTTGATCTCTTAGATCATTAATAACATATTTAAAAAGTGACTAATTAAGATAGTTATGCAATAAAAATTAAATTTAATGTAATATTTTTACTAATAGAAATATTAATAGGTAGATTTTATATAATAATATTTGATAAATTTTTTAACAAAATTTAAATATAAAGATTAAAATAAGATTTTTTAAAATTATAAAGACTAAAAATAATATTTTTAAATTTAAGAAATTAAAAATAAATTTATCTTACATTTTAGATACTAAAAATATATTGAAGCCAATCTCATAAAAGAGTACAGTTAAAGACCGCATCCGTATATCTCGTACACCTACAAAGAAAAAATTATTATGAGGTTTTAGACCATCTTGTCTCTTGTTAAAGTTGTTTTTTTTAATTAAAAATTAAATATATGTAATATAATAATTAGTTAAAATTATTGACGCTTAATAATTATCTATATAAAAGGCCAAATCGGCAAATTTGCATCAGGTAAGACCTACATGACCTACCTTAAGTGGGTGAGTCTTACTATGATTAATATTCTCTTTGAATGCATTTATCACAAGTTAGTACATAAACTAATATAAGGTAAAATTAGCCCATGTGCAACTTCATTTAAAAAATCTATTAGGTTGATCTAATAAAAGATATATTAAAAAATGATATTATTATATCAAATTTGTTATAATATATTAAAATTATACATTTGTTTAAATTTTTAAATATTAAAAAAATTGACTTATATTTAACTTTTATAAAACTTAATATATATTTTTACTTTTATTTTGGTTTAGATTATTACCAAATAAGTCTTATAGATAAGTTTGCAAGTCATACTAGACTTTCATGTAGAAAGGTCATTTCGAAAAAGACATACGAAAATATATTCAAATTATAAATATTCAATCAAAATTAGACTGGAGTAATAAAACTTAATTTGACTTAACTAATTTTATCCGGTGACAAAGTAAAAACATTTTACACTAATAACTATACATAGATTATTTTTTATTTTATTTTATGTTATTATTATCTTTTGAATTATAATGTTATTATTATGAAATATCTATTAATTTGGATGATAATTAATTTTTATCAAGAATGTAATTGATTAATATACTTAATCACATAAAGAAATTAGAAAGGTAGGAAGAAAATTGAAATTTAAACTAAAAGGGAAGAAAATTGAAATTTAAACTAAAAGAAAATAGAAGAAAAGAAAAATATTTTATTTTATTTTATTTTAGTAAAGTCAACTTTTGCTATCACTTTCTTTCTATTTTCTCTTCAACTAAAAAAATAATACATTATTATGTGGGCTTTCTTTCCTTTTTTATTTTCTTTCTCACATCCAAACATAGCATAAAGTTATTTTTATAAAAAAAAAAATCTCTTTCAAACATATTTTTTATCTCTAAAATTTGAATAAAAAACTTAATTTACTTAAAATATTAGTCAGTTTTCTAGTACCAACTTTTTTAAGCACACACAATCGGATTCTATTAATTAATTGATACTTTTCAATATAAGTTTTTTTTTTCTTTCACAGGACTGAATACATTTTGTCAGGTGACCTGTTCCTTATAAATACAAAGCATTGTGTATAAATACATAAGAAGCATTAATCAGGTTCTTTGACATATATAATTATTATTAAAGTCAATAATTAGTTGATACGTAATATATTTTTTATTCATTATATATATTTTTATTAAAAATAATTCTATTTAAACTGAGTAAGATTATCTATCAAACTCAGATCTCATACCACAGACCACTTATTAAGATAACACAATCCATACTGGTTGATCTGGTTCTTGCTAAGTAATTGATACCTTGAAAAACATTAAAAACAAAAAAACAAAAAAATAAAAAACAAAAACACAAAAACACAAAAAACAAAAAACAAAAAAACAAAAAATAATAATAATTTTTTTTCCCAAATTATAATACAGCGATAATCTCTTCGCCGGCTGAAAGTGACACGTTTTAAATTTTAATACTTGTCTTTCACTTTCAGCAAAGTAAGTTGTATAATTTGTACTTTACATCACTCAATGCCTATTACATGTCACACATGACGACATCGATGACTCCATTTCTATTTTTGTTTTGTTACAGTTATTTAACTATAGGTTAAATATCTCTTTTGGTCCTTTACAATATTTTTTTGTTTCAATTTAGTCTTATTTTAATTTTAGGTCTCAATTTGGTCCCCAATAATTTAAATCGTTCCAGTTTAGGACTTCAGTCTAAATGATTTAAACAGAATTAACTGGTGGCCACGTAGATGCCAGGTGGATGCCACGTAGGTGGATCCAAAAATACTTGAATACACCTGGAACTAGAACGGCCCGTTCTAGCCCAGAATTTCGTGCACAAAAAAACTAAAATACAAAGCATTTCAAACACTAGATTTGGTAATATTGTTAATGAGGATTAATAACTTCAATTGCTAAACATTTGGGCTATACAGTATATCATTAAGAATGATGCAGTGTATCACTGAGGACAATGGTAACAAGTTTTATTTCATTGTTAGTTGTAACATAGAAAAAAAAATGTGGCTGGTTTAATAGCCAGAACGGGCCGTTCTCAATTTGGAACGAGCCGTTCCAAGCTATTAAATTAGCCTGTAACACGTAGTTGAGAACGGGTTGTTCTGGAGGGAGAACGGGCCGTTCTGGTTGGAGAACGGGTGCTTTTCTTAATGGTTTGATACAAGAAGAAGTGTATGTGGAGCAACCACCAGGTTTTATTGATTTTAAGTATCCTAATCATGTGTACAAACTTAAAAAGGCACTCTATGGCTTGAAGCAAGCTCCAAGATCATGGTATGACAGGTTGAGCAAATTTTTGATTGAGAATGACTATGTAAGAGGGAAAGTAGATAATACATTGCTTGTGAAGAAATTTTAAAATGATACAATGTATGTTCAAATCTATGTGGATGATATTGTTTTTGGATCTAATAATGTCTCTCTATGCAAAGAATTTGCTAAGACCATGCAAGGAGAATTTGAAATGTCAATGATGGGGGAGCTTACATTCTTCTTGGGGTTGCAAATCAAACAAATGAGTGATGGAATCTTCATAGGACAAAGCAAGTATTGCAATGAACTAATGAAAAAGTTTGGTATGGAAGGGTGTAAGGAGGTTGCAACATCAATATCAAACACATGCAATCTTGACTTGGATGAGAAAGGCATAGTTGTTGATAACTCAAAGTATAGAGGTATCATTGGATCACTCTTATACTTAACAGCTAGTAGGCCTGATATAATGTTTGTTGTGTGCTTGTGTGCAAGATTTCAGGCAAATCCAAAAGAATCTTACATGAAATGTGTAAAGAGAATTCTTAAATATCTGAAAGGTACAACTAATGTAGGTTTGTGGTATCCAAAAGGAGTCTCACTAAGTCTGATAGGCTACTCAGATTCAGACTATGCTGGGTGTAGACTGTGCATGTTTAGTTGCAAAATAATGATTAAATTTATTAGCATCATTATGTTTGTATGTTGTATGTTGATGTATCACCCAAAGGAGAACATCAATATACTATTAATTGATGTTTGAATATATTATATGTGTAGCATGTATTTTATGTCTCAAAACACTCATGAAAATTTTTATTATGCAGTATCTGTTCCCAATTCACTAAATTCTCTTGTAGCGTCTATTCCAATTTTTAATGGGCTTAATTTCTCTTACTGGAATGAGCAAGTCCAATTTCACCTCGGTGTTTTGGATCTAGACCTTGCTATATTAGAAGAGAAGCCTGCTACTATTACTGATTCTAGTAGTAATGAAGAAAAATCCTATTATAAAGCTTGGGAAAAGTCTAACAGACTCTGCTTAATGTTCATGAGAATGATTATTGCTGACAGTATTAAGACAGCTCTACCCAAAACTGAAAGTGCTAAAGAATTTATGGGTTTTGTGGGAGAGCGCTCTCAAACAGCTGATAAGTCTCTTGCTGGGACACTAATGAGTACACTGACCACCATAAAGTTTGATGGGTCACGTACTATGCATGAGCATGTCATTGAGATGGCAAATATTGCAGCAAGACTTAAGTCCTTGGGAATGGCTGTGAATGAGAATTTCCTTGTACAATTTATTCTCAACTCATTACCGACTGAGTATGGCCCGTTTCAAATGAGCTATAATACCATGAAAGACAAATGGAATGTGCATGAATTGCATAGTATGTTGGTTAAGGAGGAAACGAGACTTAAGAATTAAGGAAGTCACTCAATTCATTATGTAAGCCACCAAGGGAATCAAGGAGCTGGAAAGAAGTTTGTTAAGAAATATGATAAGGGCAAAAAGCCATTAAAGATTAATGAGGCATCTGTAC